CCCAAACCCTAGCCCTCTAACCCCTGCTCCCCACACATTTACCTTCCTCCGGTTCCTAAGGCTACTCCCATGACTGCCTGGCTGCATGCTGGCCACACTCCAAGCAGCCCCTTGCAGGCTGGAATGCTGCCAGCCTGCAAGGGGAAACCCATTCTGTTGTGCATTTTTCTGCCACTTGCTTGCGAATTTCTGAAATATTCTGGCGACTCACTTTTGGGTCACAACCCATGGGTTGAGAAACACTAAGCTAGACTATATAATGTCTTTGGTACACAATATTAAGTACTAAGCCTTTTAGTTATGATGGTTACTTGCTGGTATTTATCAAATGAAGTACTGTAGGTAAATGCAATATAGGTGTTTTTTTCCTCCCTGCCCCCACTGTGGTTTTATTCTGAAACTAATAGAAGTGTTTCTTCCCTGCCAGAATTTTAGTGATTGAAATCTGCAGGGTATCATTAGAAAACACATACTCAGTATGAAGAAGTGTATATTCCTACCTGTGTTTTCTTACTGCTCTGCCAAACCCAGCAGAAATACAGGAACCTGCCACTGTTCTGTAACCTTGCTGTTCTGCCATACCTAAGTTGGTTACCACTAGAGGAACTTTCTGAAACAAACTTTTTAATAAAAAGCAGAGATGTTAACATTATCATGGTGAGTTCCAGAAGTCAGTAGTGATAAGTTAGATGCAGATGCAAGATTCTATTTTATTAACAATTCTCACAGACCTTACATCCACAAGTAGCATACTTAGCTTTGTTAGCAGGAAAGTGATACAAAAATAGAAAATTAATCTTTTTTTTAGTATCCTCTTGCATAGATTTTTTCCCCTCCCTTTGTAAGCACACAACAACAGTTCTTAATAAGAGGACCTCAGAGGGGAGCCAGGCAGTAAAGAAGGAACCTGCATGCCACCCACTCCTGCCATATGCTGCAGGAATGAGCTCTGGGGCTCCCCACCATACCCATCAGCTAGGTGTTGTACTACTCTAACCAGGAGTGTCTGAACAGGAAGCAGATGCTGGAAAAAAGAACCTGCATGCAGCAGCTGCTCTGCCACTCTGGGATGTGTACTGGTGTGGCTGTCACATGCAGGGCAGTCCTAGAACAGCAGAGCTGCAGGGCTTTGCTGCTCCAGGACATGAGCTGGAATGGATGCTGTGTGGGGGGCCATCTGGCACACCCTGCATGTTACCTGTGGGTCACTGAAACCCATGGGCAGCATTGGGAGCTGCATCGAACACCCCTTGTATAAAAGATTATTTCTAGATTTGTTTCCTAGCTGTATCTAGCTTACTTGAAGAATATATTTTTGTGAAAGAAAATCAACAGGTATCTTATGTAAACTAGTCAGTTTTGACACTGAAAATAGTAGTTCTGACCAGAATTACTAGAATGACAAATAGCATCTAACAAATCATAGCACGTCACATGTCACTGTGCTCTACAAAACCATAGAGACAAAGCAGCTCAGAGATACTTACCCCTCTTGCGGTCTATGCAAAGCATGTTCTAATCTGTAAGTGGAACAGCTTTCTGTAGTGACACTGGAAGTTAGTAAAAGAAACACAAGACCCTGATTTGACAACTTTGACTGTAAATTCCTGTGAAGAATTCTCTCTCGGAATGTCATTGTCTGGTCTGTATTACGTCTGAATTTGTACCAGCCGATCACATTCTGGGTAGTGGGTAAAAAGAAAGATTTATCTTCAGTTATACCATTTTCTAGAATTACCTCACTATATAGAAAGGTAGGGAAGATTTAGAAGAGGCTGAGCACACAAAGACAGCATTAGAACCCATTAGTAATGTACATATGTGCAGTGTGCATCTCTCCAGTAGTCCCATTCCTGTTCTACAAAGCACATAAACATGAAAACCAACTGCTTGCATCTCAAGTGAGCTATTTACACTGATGCACACTGCAGATTTTATAGAGATGAAACCAGGTGGTTTTACGGGATCACTTACACAGCATATCTGGGAGATGAGAAAAAAATTACAAAAATAGTAGAAAGGAAAGAAGTGAGTATGGCCTATCCCTTCATTTTGCAAGGAAAAATGACAAAATATGTATAACAACAGAATAAGTAGCTTCTGTGAAGCTAAAGAATGACAGGTAACTAAATGTGATTCAGCATCATAGCTTCCTAGTGTAAGCACAATACCCTAAATCAGCCCCTGGGGATGGATACCTTTCAGAAAGAATACCTTTTCGCAGCCTGATAATATTTTCTTTAGTGCAGCCTCATTCAGATCACCTGCAGAGCTGTAAAAGCTAGAAGAGATCATTAGAAGACATTAGAAAGCAAAAGACTATTGCTCTAACACAAATACTTTCCAAAACAACTTAACAGTTATCTTGCTTTATCTGAACACTCAAGGTTAATAAAACTAAGATGTATTTATACTCCACTGGCAGATGTGACTGCAGAGCATGTAGAAATACCCAGTCTAGGATGGATATGAATTGCTGAGGTTATGGCAGCACAGACTTCAGCACGCAATCTACCCAAGCAAAAGATCAGGACTGCTACAGCACAGTAAGCATCTCATGTAGTTGCAGCCAGTGAGTTTCAGTTATGTAAAGAGTGCTGACCAGGGTTCTGCCATACACTAATACATGTGGTAAACTGATTTACAAATGGATACAGATATACAGCTAACAAAAGTACATAAAATACAATACTATATGAGGGAGATATAATTTATTTGTATTGGTAATTCTGAGGTGCTGATATGACATCCAAAACTAGAGCTTAACTGCCAATGAAAACCATGATCTTAATTTTGCACACATTTTTAAAGATATTCACCTGAAAAGCTGATAGCATGGAATATGCTTTTGTATATCTGCAAAGAAAACAAAATGTTAATCTGGGGCCACATGTTCAGTACATACATTCTTTATAGACCATACTCATAGCCAAACTTTCCAAAGATATAACCAGTCAAAAATTCATCATTTTTTAACTGAATATTCCCAGATTTATTTATACTGGCAAGAAGAAAGATCTCTAAGAATAATATTTGGTTTTTTTCCAAAACTAGAAATAGACAGCCTAAACGTGCATAATTACAAACTGGTTATTTTTTTCTGTTGTGCTAAGCAAGACTCATAGTTGGTTCCTCCCCCAGCCCTTTTGGAGTACAAAAGTAAGGCTAAAAAGATGTAGTCAAATTGCCCCTTATCTTTTTGTTAAATCTTAGAACTTGTGAACTACAGACGCAAATGTCTACCCTCATGCAACAATTTTCAGGAGAAGGGCAAAGGATTGGTAATGTTCAATGGTAAAGTTTTCTGTTTTTTTGCTCAGCGTCAAAATCTTACAATTTAAATTTATTTTCAAGAATATATTTGACACACAAAAGGAAAGCACTGATTATATTACTATAGTACCCACAACAATGTAGGCATGTTTCAAATATATATCTGGATCATGCCTCCTGATTTTTATAGTTTATAAAAGTGATCCTGTGTGAGACACCATGTTTCTCTCTCTGGGACTATAACCTTGCATAACATCAAGGTTCTTCTGAAGCACTGAAGCTGATGACCAATAGGGGTCGGTTATGACTTTAGGAGACAGACCTTTCAAAGGAGGTTGCTGAAGAGTATGTCACTGTCAAAAGAAACCGATATGACAACACAGTTAATTCAGTAGTAAATGTAAAATGCTCGCCTTTGCCAGGGTAGAGGGACCCAGTCTGGTATGTGCAGGACTAAACTCAAGGCATAAGAGAGACCAGGGCAGGGGGGCATGGTTTGGCACGTGCAGGGCCAGGGCAGAGGGGCCCAATTCGGCACAAATGGGGCTAGGCTGGAGCCAGAGTTGTGCGCCTAATAGGGTGCACATGGGGTTGGGGTTGGGGAGGTGGGCCTAATCCAGCATGTGGCCATGGCTGGAATATGACTTGTGGGACTGGGGCCTAATCCAGTGCGTGTGGGATTGAGCCCTGGCCCCATGCATGCCAGATTGGGTCCATGGAGTGGATCCAAACCATGAACCCACCCTACACCACTCATCCAGCCTGCAGGGCCAAATGTTTGGGCACCACTACTGTAGGGTAAACTCTCTTCCACCTACGTGTTTGAGTGTGGGCCCATGCACTGTCTCACAATAGCAATTTTGCTTTTTTGTAAGGCATCTTAAAGAATCAATGCCTCTCAAAGGCCTCACATGTGCCTCTCAGAGGTTGGTCTGAAATATAACATGCTCCCCCCATTTTAGTGCCCAAAATGAAAACATCTGAAAGTTTGTCAACAACAACATAAATAGCTTTTGATTCTCGCACATAATACTTTCTAGCTTTAAGACACTTAAATTAATCCTCACACTACTCTTGTATAAGGCAATGCCATCCAAATTTTACTTATGGAGAAAAAAGACTTGAACCTCAGTGAATTTAGAGTTATGTTAATTTTCTCCAAGGTGAATTTGGACCAAGAATAGCTAAGTAATACACCTAAGAAAGAAAAGGTACAAGGTCCAACATTTGCTTTTAGCTATCTGGTGTAGAAAAGAGATTCAAAGAATTTTACACATGTACTTTTGTTTCCAAATCCAAGCTATTGGAGAAAATATTTTGTTTTCAAAATGTTTGTAAATTTCCGACAGTTAAAAAAGAAACCCCCATCAACACACCAGATTATAAATGCCACATTTAGATATCATGCTGTGATAAATTCTATAAAATTGCCAGCCTGAAGCTCCAATTTAGGAACTTAATTACTGGAAATAAAAAGACTAACCAATTGTATAAACAACTTCAACATCATCCATCTGAGAGTCAGTAATGCTGTTCTTAGCTTCACCTTTCACATCCCCAAGAAGGAAACCTTCCTTTGAAAGGAGAGAGAGAACAAAGGAAAACTGCATTAGAAAACAGTGCCTTCATTGTTTTGCTATGTCCTCTGGAAAATTAAATTATGGGAGCAAGGTATTTTAACATTTAAACAAGTATTTTACATTTTTGTTCTTCTGCACTTGTCCCTTGCTTTAACAGGACACACAATTTCTCCATCATTTAATGCCAGAATTGTGGAGTTAAAGTATGTGAGGAAATGCTGCAGAGTGGAAAAATGGCCCTCAAAATGTTTCTGCTATTTCCCCTTCAGTTCAGCAGAGTATATATAAAAATGAGGGACGGGGAGAACAGAAGATGGAACAGATGCAAATGGAACATTTTACCAGGAAAAAATGAAAGAAATAGGTTTTTAATTGTGCTTAGCATTTTGTTTTTAAACATACAATTATGTAAAAAAAATGATTTGAGATCTCAGAATCTCTTCACTTGTCAGAAGAGGAGGGGGGGGGCCTCAATGGGACATGGACTTAGTTTGATGACTGCCTGTCAGCCTTGGACCAAAAGGTTTAGCCATCTCTTTTAATAATAATTCCTCAATATCTTATGCAGAACAGAGATGTGGGGCGGAAAATTTTCCAGTGCTTTATTTTTCTGTGGGACATTTTCCATTTCTAAAAATTAATTGTTTCATAAAATTCATTAGTAACAATGAATGGATGCCGATACAATATTAGGCAAGCTTGGCAGTTTCAAAGTTGTAATTAATGGTTTTCAGGTGATTATCCCTAGGAAGTGTGTGAGAGAGTACATATATGTTTAATTGATTTGTAAACAGGAGGGTAAATACACGCACATAATAATCCAAACCAAAAATCAAGATATGAATTCACTTAATTGGCTGTGCAGGTCAAATCAAAACCAAATGAATGTACCATTAAGTTTGTTTCTATTTCTCAAAATCTCTTGCTTCTGGAGAATGAGTCAGAAGCACAGCTAGTAAAGAAGATGCAGTGTGATAATAAGTTGCCTTTGCCCCTAGACTCATTGGTAAAACCATCCTTTAGCGAAAGAGAATATGGTTCAAGTAGTTCTGAATCAGATTTGCCTCAATCTGATTCTGAAATGGAACTAATAAGTAGTGAAAGTGATTCTACAGATAGTGACAGTGAAACTGGAGGTGCCGCAATGACCACAGTGGAAGAGTGTTAAACTCTGTTGAAGTAGATGAATGGACAACCACGGTATATCATACACAGTTCTTTGGGTGTGCTAAAATTAGTGTCAACATATTTCAGTGCCTTTGTTTTTTTCCTTAAATTAAAACAAACAATGTAAAGGAAGTACATGCTATTGTGTATTGTCTTTATATTTTTACAAGTATTCCAATAAAAATAATTTCTTTCCATGTAATGCTTTGAATTTGTTTGAATATAACATTTCATAGATTTCATAGACATTAGGGCTGGAAGGGACCTCGGAAGATCATCGAGTCCAGCCCCCTGCCCAAAGGGCAGGAACTCTGCTGGGGTCATAGGATCCCAGCAAGATAAGCATCCAGTTTGCTCCTCAAGGTGTTCAATGTAGGTGCTTGAACCACCTCCGGCGGCAGGCTGTTCCAGACCTTGGGGGCTCGGACAGTAAAGAAATTCTTCCTTACGTCCAGCCTGAAACGGTCTTGTAGTAGTTCATGACCATTTGACCTAGTCGTCATCCCTTGGGGTCCAGAGAAGGGCCACTCGTATGGTTAAGGGCCTGCAGACCAAGCCCTACGACGAGAGACTAGAGAAACTGGACCTTTTCAGCCTCCGCAAGAGAAGGTTGAGAGGCGACCTTGTGGCTGCCTATA